GCTGGTAATCACCCTTGGTCAAGCGTAGGTCAAGGGGACTACGGGTCGGGTCATCCCTGCGACCCGGGCCGCCCCCATGAGACAAAACCCGCGGAGTCTTTTCAAACTTAAGGCTCCTTGACGGATGCCCCATCGGACAGTCCGGTCTATGGTCCGTAAAGTGCTCGCAGCTGCTGACCTGGCCTCGGTATTCTCCTCGATCCCTAATGGTGGCCCCTTTTGCGTCCCTTTTTTTTTCAAGCGTGGGGGCCGACTTGTGACCTCTGTTGGTGCGGGCGATTTTGCCGCGTTCATCTCGCGTGACATTATGGAGTGAATGCCAGTGGCGGATGTCGTGTTCGGTGAAGCCCTGGCCGAGCCAGCGCCGCATGTCTGTTGTCGAGACTTATTGGCGGGCGAGCCCATGATCTTCGTGACTGGCGAGTCGTCCTAGGCGCTAGCCTTCGGGTTCACCTGGGAGATCGTCGTCTTGAGGTGGGTTTCCCCGCAAGCGTTCCCTTCTGGGTGGAGTTCTGGGGGTCCTCTGAGCAGGCGCGCGCGGGCGCTGTGCGCCGCTAGAACGGGCGCGCGAGTGCCTGCGCGAGTGACTCCGCCCATGGCGCTGTGGATGATGGCCCCCGGCTTCCCATCCGTCGTCGTCCTCATCATTGCGATGCACTCGCCTCCAAGCTGGGCGGCTTGTGGATCGGTCATGTATTGCAAACGTGAAATGAGAGCCTTCGTTATGTCCGCGTTCATATTGGATGCGCTCGGAAAAAGGTCACCAGCGTCGCGCGGGTTACCCCGCAAAGGATCGTCATCGTACGGTTCTCCGTGTATAAGATTGCCAATGGCCTGCGGCTGGGGCATCGATTGGAGCTCCTCCTCTGTCGCCGGTATCGTAGCAACAGAGTCCGCAGGTGCCCCGCCATCTCGTGGTCCGAAGAGGCGAGCACGTGGAAATCCTCGACGGACTCAATCTGTGCAGGTTGCCCCGCGATAGGGGTGCCCAACCAGTCCGCCAGGTTGATCTAGTCGCGGCCAACGTGGATCTCCTCGAAGAGCCCATCGGCATACCCCTCGAGGGACACGCTGGCACTGAGACGCCTGGCGGCGATGAAGTGGACAGCGGCAGAAGGGGTGTCTTCGGGTAAGGCTAATCGCGTCTCCCAATCGACATACCTAATGTTCGAATCGGGTCGAGCCAAATGTATCGACGGACTCCTGCCTCTCCCATCGCCTCGGGGGCGCTCTCGACGGAAATGTTGCGTGCTATGGCAAGTATCACATGCCATGGTTTTTCCACTGGCTTCAGTCGTGTTGCCCCGACGTCCCTTGCCCTTTCCTGAGGTGTGCCTACGGCCTCTACCTGTTCCGAAGAGCATTTCTTCGTATTGTTTGTGGTCCAGTAAGGGACGCCAAGAATGCCAACATACCTCTGCCATGTCGTCGCCGTCGTTTGCCTTTACCCTTACCTCTACCCTTGCCCTTTGACCTCGACGCCCGTCGAACCGCGCGTCGTACTCTGCGAACTGGTTTCTTCATAAATCGTTTCCATCGGCTTTTGTGTGAGATGCAGAGGCATGTCGGAGTAATCCAGGGTACCACTTCCCTCATCTGATGGGGTGTCGGTGCCGGTGCCAGAGTCAAATTCAAACTCGGCGGGTTGCCCCGCGGAGCCTACGAGGGTAGTGGCTTGGGCAGAGGCCGCCGTTGCCGGCGGTCCCTGATAGCGAGCCCAGAAGTCTTGCGACCCCGTAGGCTGGCCACTTTGTTGGCTGAATAAGGTGGTGGCCTCCGTTGATTGTGGACCGTCGTTCCAGACGTTGTTCGCAGGTTGCTCTGCGTCCGTGTCGGTGTGAAAGGTTTCGGTGCGATGACCGTGGCTGAATGCACCGCCAACGTTGCCAGGGGTTCGCTCAGCGATGTGAGCATAAGACCTTAACCGCTCTAGTAGATGATCAAACTGTTGCTGGGTCCTTGGCACTTGGTGGTTGAATGGTCGTAGTATTTGCTGTGCTCGCGACGTGCCCGCACCCAGAGCTCTGAACAGGATAACTGTTAGGATCTGGAAATTGGGGATATTAAAGCCTGCGGTCTCGGCCTCGAAGCGTGCTATCTCAAGGCGCGCCGACGTCTGGTCGATCCGCTCTCCCGCATGGACGCGAAAATCGATGAGAGCCGTTCCTGACTTGAGTTGGCGTTCTTCCTCTAGATTTCCGAACTTAGTGCTGAGGAGGAACATGATGTAGGTGGCGCCGTCGGTGTGGCGACCACCAAAGTTCACGCCAAAGTTAATGATTGAGGAAGGTACTCTCATGGCTATGGTCCTTGCGAGCCCTCCCAGACCACGCTGTAATGACGCGGCCTGTTGAGAGGGAGTCACGTTGCCTGTAGTCACGTTGATCCAGGCATGTATCTCGCGAGCGAATTCGCGGAAAAGTACGCTACCGGCAGGGCCCCAGTGGGGGCCGGTAGTACGTGTGTCGTCTCCGCCACGCTGCGTGTGCCCAACAGCGCACCCGATAGCGACCCATAGGATGCCAAACCTGGTAATGCCAATCCAATGGCCCCTTAGGTCGTGGTCGGATGTGTGGCTGTGAATTTTGATGCGTTGTCGTTAACCTGCGTGGGGGTGGAGGCGGCGTAGTGTCGTATTGCATGTTGCCATTGATTGGGTGCTCCGAAAAAGCTTCCACTTCGAGCAGGAGGGTGGACTTCAGGAGTGTAGTAGCGCAGGGGGGAATGACTCATGTAAGAAGCTTCCGCGAGAACGGAGGTAGCGCGGCAAGTGTCCTTGCGGTTGTGCGTGGGTATGTACATTCCTCCGCGCAAACACACTGCACCCTGATGTTCCATCATGTCAGTCGTCCACCAGATAGTGCCGTGGATGGTGAGGAGTAGAGCTCGAGCTGACCACTATAGGCCAGCTCCACTACCAATTTTGAAAGGGGGTTGGGAGGCCCAACCAGAGGCTTTGCCTAAGGCGAAGCCCATGTCCAACTGGCCATGTCAAGCGAAGATATTTTCGGTCTCAATGGCAAGTCGTGTGCCTCGCGATGAGGCGCAGTCATATGTTGTCGGCCGGCCGCTTGAGCCAAAATGGCTACGGACAAACGCTCGCTATCTCTCGCCTTTGCCCCAACCTCCTTTAGAGTGAGGGATGGGGGCCTAAGGATACGGTGGGGGCGTTCGTTAAGGAATGTGCCCAGGAGGCTTCAGATCCTGGAGGATTCCTTATCGAATGAGACCTGCAGTGATACCCATGGTCGATCCACGATTGGAGCTCCCCCGCCTCCCACACCTTGGATTTCTGATCCACTGCCTCGCGGTTCGGGGCCACTCGTCCTGCGAGCCCCGCCCCTCCTGCCTTGAGCCCAACAGATCTCGCAGAAATCGGCCCAGGCCTCCGAACAACTGTGTACGGTTTCCCCCAGGGCCGTAGGCGACCCGAAGAGGAGGAGGACGAGGAGGAGGAGGAGGAGGAAGATGAGGAGGAGGAGGAGGAGGAGGAGGAGGAGGAGAAGGAGGAGGACGGGTCGCCTAAACCCTTCGGAGGAACCCTCTAAACGACTGTGCGTATGCAGTCTCTCTCTCTCTCTCTCTCTCTCTCTCTTTCCGAGAGTTGCTCGGCCGCAGCACCGCCCGCCAACCCCCACCCGCTGCGTGGGCGAAAGGGCCCGCCGCACGCAACGGGCTCCCCGCTGGCGGGTGCGTACCTGGAAGCGGCCCATCGAGCCGGCTGTCTTCCGCCACTTGGTCGGGCGTGTCCTCCTACAAGGGGACTCTGGACGAGAGATAAAAAAGAGTCAAACAAAATGCAGCAATAGCCAAACATAGGCAAAACATCGTGCCAATCTTTTTTGACTATTTTTGAGTATCCCTCTTGGAGAGGAACATGCCCGACTTAACACTTCTCCCGTCCAGAAGGAAAATCTCTGCGGGCCGTTCTCGGCAACTTCTGGCCTCCACAGGGGCCGCCGCTGGTCCAAGTTCTGGGGTGACCTGAGGAGCGGAGCGGAGCGGCCAATCATCCATCTAACGGGGCGGCTCTGGCACGCACGGAGGACGCTGGAAGAGCATCGTGAAGCGACGCGGTGGAGCAATGTAGCGGTGAGCCGCAGCGAGCACCGGGGTCCGCTAGTGGAGACTGCGCGCGCACTGGGCTGGACACGGAGATCTGGGGTGATGTAATCAGGGGTCAGGCTGCATGAGCTTTTCCTGGAGGTGTGTGTGTGTGTGTGTGTGTGTGTGCGTGCGTGTGCGTGTGTGTGTGTGTGTGTGCCGTCCCTGAAAAGTTCGGGCCGTAGGAGCCACGTAGTCAGCTCAGGCGCGCGCGGGGTGACACGACGATCTCTTCAGAGCTCCAGGTATTCGAATCTGGCGCAAGTTCAAACCTGTCTTACATTCCAGTTCAATTTCATGCGACGTGCCCCGGAAACTATCCTCAGCCGCCAGACAACTCGACCTGTACGCCAACGCCGAATCAAGCTGGCTGGGTCTGGCAGACATGGTGCATACGTCCTCCGAACAATGCTGGGGAAACACGCACAGGCCGATCCCTAATCCGGCTAGGCCAGAATAGACCCAGTGCCAGTGCGCAGCTCGCCTTCCGGATAGATGAAGAGCAAAGCTTGGAACAGTTATTGTAGAACGATCGATGTAGGATTCCGCGGATCGCCAGATAACGCCTGATCTCCGGTCGTGGAGCCAACGCGAATCCCCAATCGGTTTCTGAACCGTGGCCTGTGCACTGCAACGAATGTGGGCGCCTCAAGCACAACTCGCTTATGCGCTCAATATCCTGGTCGTCTATGCTTCAGCGGCTACTGCGCCCTGAACCGAGCGCATGAATTTTACATCCTATGGACGCGCTTAGAAGCTTCTCGAAACCCGTGTGACTGAGGATCCCCGCCCACTCTCCGACCGCCCTCTCCGTAGACATACGCTGGGTAGCCCGTCGGCCTCATGCCTGCTCTCTTTCCTTTACCCTCTCACAAGCGCGACGCTGAGCCCGCTTCACTATCGTGATTGTACCCGTACCTGTCGCAGTGATCGTTGACATGCTCGCTGAAGTAGCTGTGCGTGTCGTAGTGATCGTCACAGTACTTGTGGCCATCGTCGTAGTGATCGTCTCAGTGCTGGTGACAGTCACAGAGGTGTCTGTTTCCGAAGTGCCAGTCGCAGAAGAGACAGTGCTCGATGTGGCAGTCCCTGATGTACCAGTCACTGTTGTTTCGGTCCCAGAGGTGCTCGTTGGAGAGGTTCCAGTCCCAGAGGTGTCCGTCTCAGATGTAACAGTCCCAGAGGTGTCCGTCACAGAAATAACAGTCGCAGAGGTGGAGAAGCTCCCAGTGGTAGCCGTACTGCTAGTCAGTGTAATGGTGGCGCTGCTCGCCGTCGTGGCAGATGTATCAGTACCAGAGGTGCCAGTCGCAGATGTGTAGCTACTCATAGAAGTACCAGTTCCAGAAGTGCCACTCGTAGCTGTGCTGCTTGTCAGGGTTCTCGTGGTCGATGAGGTGCCAGTCGCAGATGTGTAGCTACTCATAGAAGTACCAGTTCCAGAAGTGCCACTCGTAGCTGTGCTGCTTGTCAGGGTTCTCGTGGTCGATGAGGTGCCAGTCGCAGACGTACCACTTACAGAAGTCCGCCACCCCGCTTTGCCGCGAATGGTGTGCGTCGAGCTCCTGGCTTCTTTTGCAATTCTGCCCCTCTTCTCCCCCCCGAAGCACGAACTAGTATCCCCACCGCATCGAGAACATCCGTCATTTGGCATCGCGGCTCGATTTTTTCATCCGCCTCAACGCAGAAGACTGCACGCAGCCACACGGAAACGCCTGCGGCATCCCCCCCCCCTCACACCACCACCTGGGCCCTCTGGGTCTCCAGGCTGCTCCCCGGCCGTCCCGGCCGTCCCATGACGGCCAAATTTTCGCTGACGACGGCTCCACGTGTCACAAGACCGGCCCGCGGCCGTCTCTCGTACCCGAATCCTCCAGATGGCCCCCGGACGGCCCAGGAAGGGCCCGAAGACCTCCTCGGACCGCACGCCGCCCCCGCAAGACGGCCAGACGACCCCTGAGAGCACCACAGCAGGCCACCGGAGGCTCACGGGACATCCGGGAGCCCTCCAGGAGACACCCTGGATGCAAAGCATTGATTCTCACCGAGGAAACGGATGCCTTGCCAACCAGCGAAGACTTCAGTTGCTCTTGTAAGCTGACGGACGGCCCCAGGGCCTCCACTCGATGGGCCCCCCCAGCGATGCCAGAAACTCACCGGAGCGCCCCGAGATGACCCCTGGACGGCTCCAAGGCCACCTCGGGGCTGCTGCAAGACGGCCCCCGAACCAGGCCGAGATGGTCCGTGGGCTTTCCCAGACAGGCGCAGGACTTCCCAAGATTTCTCTGGGAAGGCCCCCAGGACTCCTCAGACCTAGGCCCCGAAGTGCCGAGAAAGGGGCCACGCGACGACAACGCAACGCTGAAGCCGTGCCGCGGCGGCGCGTGGTGTCGGATGTGCGCGGCGGCGCGACAGGATAGCAGTCCCAGAGGTGTCTGTTCCCGAAGTACCAGTCACAGAAGAGACAGTGCCCGATGTGGCAGTCCCCGATGTACCAGTCACTGTTGTTTCGGTCCCAGAACGGCTCGTCACGGATGTACCAGTCGCAGAGGTAGTAGCCGTAGATGTGGCAGTCCCAGAGGAGTCAGTCACAGAAGTAATGGTCGCAGAGGTGGAGAGGCTGCCAGTGGTATTTGTACCGCTGGTCAGTGTGCCGGTGGAGCTGCTCGCCGTCGTCACGGATGTATCAGTGCCAGAAGTGCCAGTCGCAGAAATGGTACTACTCACGGAAGTACCGGTTCCAGAGGAGCCACTTGTAGCTGTACTGCTTGTCACTGTTCTCGTCGAGGTGCTCCCAGTTGTAGCTGTACCGCTTGAGGATGTGATGGTCGCGCTGGTCATTGTTGTCACCGATGAGGGCACACAAAATATACATAAACGACAAAACACTAAGCAAAGCAAAGGGAGGGATTTGTTTTCACAAGCCCTCTGGGTGCAGATGGTTTAGCGGATCAGCTCTTCCATCCCGCGCCGAAAGACTCCCCACCTCGCTCAGCGAAGCCTCCTGTGGGCCGCTTAGGAGAAGGAGGAGGAGGAGGAGGAGGAGGAGGAGGAGGAGGAGGAGGAGGAGGAGGAGGAGGTCCTCCTCCTCCTCCTCCTCCTTCTCCTCCTGGGGGCTTTTGGAAGTCTCGTTGGAAAGCTCTCTGTGCGCCTCCGGGAGGCCTCCTGGGTGCCCCCTCGTGGCCCCTTCGCGAGCTACGACATGCGCCGTGAAAGGCTAACGGAGTGGCATATCTGAGGTCTGTGGGGCCGTACTGGCCCCGCCTGGGAGCTTCTTACACGACTCGTCAAACATAGATGGACGATTTTTGTTTTCGGTGCTTGCGTGGTGGGCGCTGCTTCAATGCTGGCATGAAGCATTCGGCCCGGACGCAAGGGTGTCCGAAACCCGGCAGTACCCTCACCGCATTGAAGAACGCGTTTTCTGACAAGTGCCCGAACTATCGAGCGCCTCGATTTTGAACAGCGTTTCAATTTATGTTCGACGAGGCTTGTAGGGTATCTTGGAAGCGTCTTGGAGGTCTTTCTGCTTCCACTGGGGCCGTCATGGGGTCGTCGAGGCACCGCGGCCGCTGGACACTGTTGGCATTTTCGAAATTTGGACGGTCTTGGAGCTCTCCAGGTGCCCTCTTGGGGCTCTCTGAGGGTGCTCTCGGGGGCCTCTGGGGCTGTCATTGGGCTCCTCCTGGGCCCGGCTAGGGGCTTTCGAAGCCTCAAGAGCCCTGCAGGAGCAACAGAAAGCGTCAACTGCAAGGTTTCACAACGTACGAGCTGACTTTTCTGGACTGTCACCGGGGTTTTCGAAAAAAAAACGCCCATCTCGAATGCGTATTGAAGCGGGTCCACCCCCCTGGCCCCAATTTCGAAGTTCGGGGCGGTCGACGCGGGGGAGTGCGAGTCGTTTCGAAGAAAACGTCCACACTTGCAACCCGCGGCCTGCTCCCTCAGATGAACACTGAAACTGGGGCCACGGGGGGCGCTCTTGTGCCATCCTCTAGGCGTTGTACTTGGGCGTTTTTTCGAAAACGCCGGAGTCAGTTTGATTGCGCCACGTGCGTGGTACCACAACTATTGCACCATCCCAATTGCGCAACACAGCTCGCACGCCACATCGTCTGCGCCGCGTTCTGTGCGCAGCATGGACTGCGCCACACAGATGACACCACATGGCTGGCACCACATAGATAGCTCCGCGTAACTGAAGGGGCCCTGGGACACACAAATAAATACATACAAATAACAGGATTCCCAATATTTTCCCATATTTTCTCCTACCCCCCCACTTCCCATCTTTCCCCATCTTCTCTGGGGAATCGACGATTCACTGTGTCTGTGTGTTTTCTCCCCCTCCTGAATAACTCGCACCGCGTGGGCTGCACCCGCGCAACTTGCGCACCGCGGAGACCGCACCGCGCCCTCTTCCGGCTCGGAGGACCGGGCATCCGAGGCTGCCGCCGTGCCGCCTGGCAGCGGGGCCTGGCCGCGCCCACGGCCCGGCGCCACGTGCTCGCGCGCCGCGAGGGCCGCGGCGGAGGAGCCGCCGCCGCGGGCCGCAGCCACCCTCTGGAGGCAGCCGTGGCTCAACGGAGGCACTTGCGAAGTCCCCAACCCGGATAGCAAGGCGCCCGAAGGGCGTGGAAAGGCCCGGCGCCGAGCTCCGGGAGGACCTTTGAGAGCGCTTCGGAAGGAGCTCCTGGAGAGCTTCCGGGCACGCGTGCTGGGGCACGCTGCGGCTCCGGCTTCTTGACCCTCTTAGCTCTCTGCGAGCTATCTGGGAATCCGATACTGGAGATGGAGAGACAAGTTCGCGATGCCAACGCCCGAGCAGCAGCAGCAGAAGCAGCAGGATGCGATACCCGAGAAAGACCAGCTCATCCCCGTCCCGAACAGCTCGACACGAAGCTGCTAGACACGCCAGAGAAGTTCTCGGGCGAACTCGACGAGAATGCGAAGTACAAGGATGGCGTCACTTGGGGGAACTGGAGCTTCGTGATGGCTTCTTACTGTGTGGCGGTGGATACGCACATGGCTGGGCTGATGAGGGACGCTGCGAAGATCGGCGCCGCGGCCTACGCACACGAGGCTCTAATGGAGGAAGCCTAACGCGTGAATGCCAATCTGCACTACATCCTAGTGCTGACGCGCAAAGGTTATTGGGGAACAAAAAGTGACATAAACATAAAAACTCGGAGGTCCGCGCGGCCAGGGAGGGGGTCCAACGCCGATCCGAGAAATCCGCGCGGACTTCCGAATTTTTATGTTTATGCCACTTTTTGTTTCCCTAGGTAAGGCGCAAGGCGTAGTGAAGAGCGTTCCGTCAGGAGAGGGACTTGAAGCCTGGCGATTGCGATGTGCTGAGTTCGAGTCGAAGGTGCCGTCGAGGAACTCAGGGATGCTGGATTCGATCCTGTACCCAACCACTCAGGAGAGCGACCCTATCAAGGGCAACGTGTCTTGGGAGATGCTGGTGCAGCGCTCCGAGGAGCAGGCGGGTGAGAGAGACATGGGGTCGATGAAGAAGTCGGGGCCGAGTGCGAGACTGGTGCCACCGAATCTGCGGGAGCACCTCATGCTGGCCGCTACGCTGTTCCCAACGCACGCGCTGGTGAGGGCTGAGGTGCTGAAGTACTTGAGATCAAAGCAGGCGGCGTTGGCGTGGAGTCGCCTAGCCCCGATGGATTTGGACGCCCCCACGTTCGGAGGCAAGCGTGGCAAGGCTGGCGAAGGTAAGAATGGCAAGAACAAGACGGGTAAGGCAATCACACATTACGACGCTCAATTCACGAGCACGCTGTGCAAGTAAATTGGACCGAAGGGACACACACACACACTGATGGATGGCAATGAAGCGACGCATGACATGAAGAACGGTAAGATCAACAAGGACGAGCTGCGCAAGATAAGCAAAGGCACGGGCAAAAGCAAAGACCATGGTGACAAGACGCGAGCAGATCAGCCAGCAGACAAGAACAATGATGAATCCATGAAGCACGTATGTCACGACTACTCTGCCGAGGAGTGTCACATATTCATTATAGCAGGGGGCGGTAGCGAGGACACGGACATGAATTCTGAGAAGGGGCCCAATGACGACAAGGACGAGAATAACGATACCTACCCAGTTCCAAGAAACGAGCAAGACTCGAGGATGGACGACGGGAGATTCGTGTGCAGCGAGAAGCGTCTGTCCACCGAATTTCGCACCACATATACCATGATAAGAAGGAGCTGCGCCGACTCTTCGTCAAGCGGATGGTACCATAATCCACGCCGACGGTTGCAAGCCGGTGCGGATGCAAACTTCGGAGACGGGTCGGTCGACCAGAGGGCAATTCGATGTAAGAGATGTTCACGCGACCATCATCGCGGTGCGTGACATTACGAACGGTTCTGAAGGAGTCTGGTTTTACGACCAAGGGGGGGCCTCAGTGGGCAAGGAATTGAGCGAGAAGCTCAAAGGGGTCATCGAGTCGGAGATGAATAATACGAAGAGCAGGCCGCCCAAGGTAGCCAACAGGCGCGGCATCTACGGCTTCTACGTGGGCACGATCACGCTGGAAGTGCCTGAACCACCTCAAGCTGAAGATAGTGAAGAGGCCCAACAACCGAAGATGAAACAGGAGGGGTACAAGCCGACCGCGGGGGAAATTGCGCTGCACGAGCGCACGCGTTCAGGGACTGGTGCAAGTGGTGCCTGTGGGTGCGCGGCAAAGAGGAGGCCCGTAAGGCAGCGAACCCAGCCAGGGCGCCAACGCTGCCAGTCATCAGCATGCACTAATGCTTTGTGAGCACCGAATTGGAGACGGGGATGGTGACGGTCCTGGTCATGGTCCATGAGCCCGAAGGCCCCGTGGCGTCGATCATGGTCGTGCACGAGGGGCCTGGTGAGTACGTCAGCTCATCGGTGGAGATCTACATCGACGCGCGGCGCTCAGCCGACATCGCGCTCAGAGGCGACCAGGAAGCATCGCTGCAGGCGGTGATCATGGCGGTCAAAAGCAGGAGGAAGCACAGCGCGCGTGTGGAGAAGTCGCCGAGGGGCTCTCACTAGAGCGACGGGGCGATCGAGAGTGCCGCGGAGAGCGTGGAGGCTCTACTGCAGACACCTTGCAGCGAGCTGCTCACCCTGAAGGTGAAGACAGGCCCCAAGAGTTTGCCTCTGCCCTGGCTGGCTCGTCATGTCGGATTCTTGCTTGCGGGGCTTGCGATGAAGACGGGCGGCAGGACGGCGTGGGAGAGACTGGGGCGAACCAGGCGCAAGTTGGAGTGGGGTACGATCGGAGAGACGATCGGTTACACTGTACAAGCTAATGGCTACTCGAAGGTAGAGCCGACGCGGAGCGAAGGGATCTTCCTGGGAAGGCGTGACGAGAGCGACGAGATCATCGTGGGCGCGGCCCGCGGGATCGAGCGTGCCAGGGCTATGGAGCTGAGAGGCGCCGAAGACAAGTATAGCAATAAGGTCTACAACACGTTCATTGGTGCACCGTTGGGCCCTTGAGGCCTGGAGGTGCAAGGCCAGCGCGAAGTGGTGCGAAGGAGGAAATACATCGCGAAGTCGTTGAGCGAGGAGCATGGTCCCACCGACGGCTCGTCCATCCACAACCCGACGTGCAGGACGAGGGTCGCGAAGATCTTTGACGAGGCCGAGCTCAAGATAGAGATGGTGATTCCAGCGGACCCAAGCAAGCCGCAGGAGGAGGACGAAGATGAGGATGAGGAGGAGCTCACCATGATCCACCAGCAGACGTAGCACCACGGGAGGAAGCTCGAGTATAAGAGCCGAGGTTAGCTGAAGAAAGACAGCGAGCACCCGGCGCACCGGTGGGGCGTCATTCTGG